TCTATCTATCTATCTATCTATCTATCTATCTATCTATCTATCTATCTCTCTATCTCTCTATCTCTCTATCTCTCTATCTATCTATCTATCTATCTATCTATCTATCTATCTATCTATCATCTATCTATCTATCTCTCTATCTCTCTATCTCTCTCTATATATATCTATCTATATCTATCTATCTATATATATATATATATATATATATATATATATATATATATAGAAAAGGGAAGAAAACATGAGGAGAGACGGTATTAAAAAAAGATCTCTCACTACGTGTCATAGACAGGGCACGATTTGAGGCATCAAAAAATCCTACTACAGCAAAGCAACATAAACAGACGTGATACATTTACATATAGGCGGTGAAGACATTGAATTTTTAAGGGAAAGTCGTAGCATAGTCCAGAGCCTCCCCTCTCAGCCATTGTCCAGGTAAGAGGTGACGTTCATCTTCAGCTCAGTTGAGGTTCTGTCACATGTCCACGGCCTTAGGGAAGTGAGGGGTGTGGAGACAATCAAAGCATCTTTGTTGTTTTCAAAACATTCCAGGAGGAGTTGAGATAAGTCAAGGCCACAGTTTGGGTCAGGCAGAACTCGTGAATTGTTGTTTCTGTCTTTTTAAAGTCTCGCTGGTAAATATTCCTCTGATGGAAACTCCAAAACAGCCGAATTGTTTCTTTACGCCAAAAGTCGAGCTCACAGCTTCTCCAAGATTATTCCCACCGTTCATGGGTGCTGCCAGAAAAGTTCACAGTCCTGATAATGGCTGCTCCAGCTCCCTGCTGCAGCTCCACAAATTCAGTCTGAGTGCTGTCGAGTTTCGACACATCCACACAAATTTATAGACAATCTATAATTCACCAGCCAAACAGCAAAAAAAAAAACAGTTTTCATCATGAATCCAATTTGTTTCCATCGAGGTAAGAGGGTCCTCCTTACCCTGACTCGTGTCAGGAAAAGTTGATAAATTTTGTTGAGAGGCCAGCTGATCCTTCGAATTAGGAGGTATGCAGAAAAAAAAAAAAAAAAGTTTTTTTTAAGGGTTCACAGGACAAAACAGTGCAGCAGGGAAGGGGGTGGGGTGGGGGGGAGACCAGGGAGATATGTCTTGGTTTACCGGGGGAAAGAGAAAAAAAAAAAAAAAAAAAAAAAAAAAAAAAAAAATATATATAT